TATATGCGTGCAGTAAAAAAGCAATTTGCAAAAAAGATGTGATGAAAGTCACATCTAAAAAAAAAATGAGTACATAAAGGGGCGTAGTCTCCAGAGGAACTAGAGACCAAGAAACAAAACAGAGCAAGTGATAGCAAATATAAAAACTGAAAAAAGCAACCCAATTCAAAAATAAAAATAAAACGCAATGTGTATTTTAATTGTTCGCGTTTTCCATTGAAAAAAATATTTTTGAAGCAAACGCATGCGTAGCCCTTTCGGATTTTAATGAAAGTAAGCATTTCACGAAAACGACAGCCAGCTCGTTATTACTAATGTTTCGAGCCTTTGGTTAAGCAGACCGTCAGAAATGTTTAGTCAAACTGGGACTTTTATAAATGAATTTTAGTACTTTTAAGTGAAGGATAAGGCAGGTATGAAAACGCTTCTTGCGTGTGAGGGTTAATGACAGTTCATTTATATGGAAATCGCCCTTCCGTGTAGTAATTTAGAGCCGATTAAACAATTTTATATATTTATTCCAGGTATAGATAAATTAGGTTCCTCGTAAAGATAACGACGAAGTCAATATTGCACTGTATGCATTTTTGAGGTTTTCGGATATATGCCCTAGATCTCAGGACAGCTCAGATCACAATATTCGACAATAGTAAGAGAGCAATGGACACACACCAGGTTCTGAAACTTACTTCTCGATCCCACATTTAGAATATGATATGACAGACCACATGTCGTTATTTCAAACGTACTTGATGAAAATAGGCAAGGTATACATGGCCAAATACGTCTTATACGAGTCAGGCAAAACAGATGGATTTGATATCCAACCTTCAATGCTTAGCTTTGCGCGACATACAACAGGAGCAGGCACAGGAATGACTACGGTGGGCGACGGTTAAAAGCATCGTCGAGAGTATGATACGGGAACAGGATGGATAGCATCTTAATCAAGAGACATATAAATGAAAAGAAAGCCGGGCTGGAAAGAAAACTGACTGAAGGCTAGACGAATATAGAAGAGAACTAGAAGGCTAGCAACCTTCCTACTGTTGCTAGAAGGACCAGGACTATGCGAGAAGCAGTGTTGGATCTTTATAGGGAGTTACAGTGGAGGATCGTGGTTTAGTGGCTACTAGCCAGCAACTAGGTTTTTAACGGTTCCAGAGGACCGTTGAGAGAGTCCCACGCTTGCGTCCCTATCATGGACCACTGGGAGAATAGCTCCAAGAGTCCCAGTTGCGCACAAATAGATATATTGGTCTTTCACTTAAAATACTATAAACTGAGTCAGTCATATATTGCATGTAGGCGATTTGCAATCGTACGGGTACTTTAAATCGTACGGGTATTTTAAATAATTAAATAGAGTGATAAATTCATGACATAATGAGATAGATCGATTGCTGACTGATGTTTCAAAAACTACTACCATCTCTGTTCCCAAGAGCGCTGTATTCTAGGTCAATAACACTCATATATATTTTTATTACAACAAAGTGACGTTATGGTTTTTTTTCATTTCGCTGGAAACTTGCAACCATTTTATGTAAACCATCTAGGAAACCCATGTTATTTCTAAGTTTATTTAGTGTTGGTGTTTAGTAGCAAATAGAGGCAATATAGCGTGTCTAATGTAAGTGTGATATAGGTTGTTAGCCTTATTAACGTAAGCTTTTACAGTAGCGCGAATATGAGTTTGTCAGATAAAGATTCTAAACCAGGTAGACGCTGAAGAATATTTTAATATACAGGATAATGGGCCTAAATAAGAAAAACTATATTCGCTACCGATAAAACTGAAATTGGAATAGTACTACTGAGTTGAAAAGATTTTTTTAGCGGTTAGACTTAAAACCGACTTACGAGTGGTTTTCTAATACGGCAATCGCTTGTCTATAATGAATAGCTCGAATTTTATTCCCGACAGGCCTAAACTATTTCACGCGACGAGATGTGGCTATACTGGTATGTGCAGAAAAGCAAAGTTGTCTAGGCACAGCTTTAAAGGCAAGTCCACACTAAAAAAGGCTACAAGATTTAAGTAAAAAAAAAACAAGCTTCTTCTTGTTTTTATGGTTGTCAGGGTGTTATGCATAATGAATTCACGTCGAATGGTCGTGCTCTTTCTCAGGGGTATTGTCAACAAGTTTTAAAAAAGACCGCGAATGCTGCTCACTGCTGTAGGTCTAAGCTCTGAGGCAAGTCGTAAATTCTTTAAAAAGATGCATTTCTATTTTCTTTAGGTTACGATATCCCAATCGGGGTTTACAGATATTTAGCGCGTGGACACCATACAGAGTCTAATTTTCAATACTTTTTGAACTAATAATAAACAATACATTCTCATCAGTGGCACTGGAATACTGAATGGATAAGTTGATGTGAACAGGTATACCATTTTTTTTTTGTTAACTTTTAATCCGTTTGTGTCGATCGGCAAAAATACTGTGCCAAAGAGTCCAATAGAATGAAGTCCAATAGAAAGAATACAATGGTTGTCAATGGTATTAATATAATTCTTCAATTTTCAATTTAATTTACTTGTTACCTATTGTGTCTAATTCGAATAGCCCGCCAATCGGTATTACACTGTTCCAAAATGTAATTTGACAGAGATCGCTTTACGACACAACTTGAAGTAAGAATGAACAGTCACTGCGTGACTACCATGCGCGGCGGACAACGGTAGAAGAGTGTCTTTCTGCAATTATTGCCAAGAAGTAGTCACTCACTAAACGCTAACTCAATCTGTCGCAAAATATTTACATATAAAAAAATGTATACATATAAAAAAAATATATTTCTTGTTTTTTTTCGTGTAAAAGCACGAAAA